GCTGAACCTGGTGTCGGGACAGTCCTGCCCTTTGCTCTGATTAGCAATGAAGTGACAAGGAGGGGGGGCCTGGGAGGGTGCTTGGAGGCTCCAAGTTAAACTTTGCAGGTGCCTTCAGCACCAGGAGTGACTGCAGCTTGTGGAGAGGAGTGAGCTCCTACCTGAGGACATGTCTGGGACAGTTCTGTGGGCTGTGTTTGGAGGGGATGGCATGGTGTGCCAAGGAGGAGGGCTGAGGATGGAGAAGAATTCCACAGAAGTAGCAGACTGGCCATTGTCTCCTGGTGCTTTCCAGTGCTCCATACCCCAAGTGGCACTGCTATATTCCTGGGCACTGAGAAGCCTGTTTGTGCTGCAGGTGACTAATCAGGTGACAAGGGACAGCAGCAGTGGCTCACTGAAGCCAGCCCTTGGCCGCTCCTGGAGTTTTGTGCCCAGCACCCGGGTGCTGCTGGAGAGCAAAGAAGGCACCTGGGAAAAAGGCACCACACACCGCATCGCTTCCTTGGCAAAGTCCCCCAGGCAGGTGAGGCTCCCTGGGCTGGTCCTTCTGGTAGTGGAGAAACAGCTACATGATGTGGATCTGGCCTTGGAGCAGAGGGAAGCTCCTGAGGGTGGGGCAGGATCAGGCCCCACTGGGTGACCCGTGGTAATGGGAGATGAGCAGATGCACCCTGGATATGCAAATAGTGTGTCCAGGGATATCCTGGAGCAGGATGCTCTTCACCAAATGGCATTCTCTGTAACTCTGTTCAGCAGACCCGGTTAAAATGAGGGCACCAGCAGAAAGAAGCCCTCAAAGGGATGGAATTGGGGAGTTTTGGCCCTGGGGCGGGTGATGGAGCAGTGTAGAGGTTTGGCTGCAGAGTCCCAGCAGTGTGGGGTTGAGCTCTTCTCTTTCTCCTTGCAGCCAACAGGGATACAGGTGGAGATGGATATTGGACACGTTGATGTGCAGGAGCTGAGCCCAGCAACACCCACAACACCCACCCAGGGGCTCTGATGTGGGTGGAAAAGCAAGTGTTGAGGTCCAAGAGAGCTGCAGCAGAAGCAGGCAAGCCCACTGAAGGTTTTACAGACTGCCCCTGGGTCCTGCAGCCCTGGAAGGGACCAACATGCAGAAGTTCTTGTTCTGCACTGGGGAGAAAGACTTTGGGGTTCCCCAGAGATCTCCTTGCCTCAGTAGATGCTGCTTGTGGTGGCTGGGCTGTGTGGGCAGCACAACAACAGGTTCTCTCCTCTGCTGCAGACTTAAACCAGCAGAGGTTTGGCCTGGGATCAGCTGGCAGGTCCCTGTACAAGCCCATGGCTCCTGAGGGGGCTTTAGTTCTCCCCAAAACTTGCTGCCCTCTGTTCGTCCTTGGGCAGCCCACAGTGTTCTTGGTTCAGGAATAAAAACAGATGTTGCACACTGCTGTGGTGGTTGAGAGATGGGACTCAATTAATGGTGACTGCTGTTAGCTTAATTAAAATGTTGAGGTTTGGTCCCTAGCAGGACTGGGAGAGGAGAGGCTGTTGATGGGCAGGGGCATAATCAGGTGCTTGGTCTGACCTCCCCAGGGTAACACCAGGCCCTGTAGGGAGCTGCTGGGATTTCTGGGCACTGCTGTGCTGCATGAAGAATTGTTGTTCACTGCTGAAGGTTATGATCTGGATCTGCTGATGCTCAAGGACCTCCTCAGTTGCATGTGGTGAGGTTTAAAATAATCTGTCCTTGCTCCAGTGCTTCCCAGCTGCTCTCACCTGCTCTGGGTGACCTCCTGGGTGCTTGTGCAGTGCCAGGGAGGGGCTGGGAGGCTGGGATGGAGCGTGGCCTCTCCTCTTAATCCCAGATATCTTAGACACCCTCCTCTGCTGAATAAGCAACCTCCTTGGCAGGTGAGCTGAGCTGTGCCTTGTACTTCAAGGCTGCTGATGTAGATTGTAGGGGCTGGGACTCATCAGGGCATGCTCCTTACACTGATAACACAGCAGCCCAGCTCCTGGAGCCTTCCAAGGCTGTGCTGGGGAGGAGCAGCCTGATTCTTCCAGAGTTACATTCCTCCAGTGTGGGATTCCTGAGCAAAGAGCTGCTGTGTGGACAGGGCAGCTCGCAGGGGTGTGTGAGTGCACAGTTTGGGTTCCCAAGAGGCAGTGCCAGGTCTGGGCACAGATTTTTGTCTGGCACATCTGTCAGAGCCTGGATCCTGGGAAACCAGCTCTAGGTGCTCCCAGGGCTGTGATTTACAGGGCAGGTCCCTCCTCACCCAGCTGTGGGAACGGCTGCACTCCCGGCAGCTCCTGCCCCAGGAGGGGAATGAGCCCAAGCAGTGTGAGCTGAACCCTTGAACAGTTTTCTGTGAAAGTAAATGTTTTAAAGTTGTGTATTTATTTGCATTTCTGGGCTTTCCAAGCTTGGGAAGGAAGGTTTGGCCCCAGGGATTGCAGCCAGGCTGGAGTGAGAATGAGGATAGATTTCCAGGCCTCTGCTGGTGGGGCTTCTGTAGCTTCTGTCTCTTGAAGCTGTGAATGAAGAGCCTGGCACACAAATTTCAACAAAAACTTTGGCCTACCTGCCTGAGGCTCCTGTTCTATAGGGGAAGCAAAGCTCTTTGGGGGAGTGGGGAGCAGGGGAAAAGCCAAATAGAAACCTCTTCGAGTTATATTTGACCCAAGAGGGCTTTCTTGCTGTCTCCTTTCCCTAATTAACAGGTTGATGAGAAGGGGCACAGCCCGTTGGAGCCCTGTGTTGTCACCTCAGTGTACATCTGTGGTGGCCTCCAGGAAATGACAGCAGAGACTCTGCTCTTGCACTTAGTCACCAGGGACCAGTCATGGGACAGTGATTCAACAGGGACAGTGCCAGGCAGTCGGGAAGAGGGCAGGGTACAGTGAGGCTGTGCTCCTCCAGACCTCCCTGCCCTGGGGTTTGGGCACAGCTGTGACCTGAGGGAAGTGTCTCCCCTGGGCAATCAGCTAATGGCAGCTGTGGGAGGTTTATGTCCTCTTGGGAACTAGCTGGATGTGTGGGGAAGATGGTGTGATGCAAGCACGGCTGAGCTCCGGGCAGCTCCTTGTCCCCAGGCTTTGCTGTTGAGGTAGGATGTGTGTGTGTTGAGCTGTGTCCTGGATTTCAGGCTGCTTAGCCACAGGGAGGGTGTTGCTGGGAGTGCTGGGGGTAGGGACAGCCACAGGGTTTGGGCTGTGGGAATCTGTTACCTGATCTAGAAGAACTTGACTTCTTAGTCAAGCTGATTTGCCCTGAATTTGCATAGTAAAATTAGGCTGAGAAGAGTTTCTGGCCTAATACTCAGCCTTTCTCCTTTGTGCTCAGACAGACACCCCAGCAGCTCTGTCACTCAGGCTGGCTGTGCCTGCTCACCAGGCCAGCCTCTCCCTGCACATTCCCCCTGCCTGAATCTGCTGGAAAACTTTAGGAAAAGTCCTGGAGAGAGATGATAAAACCTGTCCCAGGGCAGACAGGGCAGCCCTCGCTCTGAGTCGTGGGGATGCCTTTTGGCTTGGAGGGTTTGTTTGCTCTGAATCTGTATAACAAACCTAAGTGTAAAAAAAACCTGCCTGAGGCTCCTGTTCTATAGGGGAAGCAAAGCTCTTTGGGGGAGTGGGGAGCAGGGGAAAAGCCAAATAGAAACCTCTTCGAGTTATATTTGACCCAAGAGGGCTTTCTTGCTGTCTCCTTTCCCTAATTAACAGGTTGATGAGAAGGGGCACAGCCCGTTGGAGCCCTGTGTTGTCACCTCAGTGTACATCTGTGGTGGCCTCCAGGAAATGACAGCAGAGACTCTGCTCTTGCACTTAGTCACCAGGGACCAGTCATGGGACAGTGATTCAACAGGGACAGTGCCAGGCAGTCGGGAAGAGGGCAGGGTACAGTGAGGCTGTGCTCCTCCAGACCTCCCTGCCCTGGGGTTTGGGCACAGCTGTGACCTGAGGGAAGTGTCTCCCCTGGGCAATCAGCTAATGGCAGCTGTGGGAGGTTTATGTCCTCTTGGGAACTAGCTGGATGTGTGGGGAAGATGGTGTGATGCAGGCACGGCTGAGCTCCGGGCAGCTCCTTGTCCCCAGGCTTTGCTGTTGAGGTAGGATGTGTGTGTGTTGAGCTGTGTCCTGGATTTCAGGCTGCTTAGCCACAGGGAGGGTGTTGCTGGGAGTGCTGGGGGTAGGGACAGCCACAGGGTTTGGGCTGTGGGAATCTGTTACCTGATCTAGAAGAACTTGACTTCTTAGTCAAGCTGATTTGCCCTGAATTTGCATAGTAAAATTAGGCTGAGAAGAGTTTCTGGCCTAATACTCAGCCTTTCTCCTTTGTGCTCAGACAGACACCCCAGCAGCTCTGTCACTCAGGCTGGCTGTGCCTGCTCACCAGGCCAGCCTCTCCCTGCACATTCCCCCTGCCTGAATCTGCTGGAAAACTTTAGGAAAAGTCCTGGAGAGAGATGATAAAACCTGTCCCAGGGCAGACAGGGCAGCCCTCGCTCTGAGTCGTGGGGATGCCTTTTGGCTTGGAGGGTTTGTTTGCTCTCGATCTGTATAACAAACCTAAGTGTGTGCTTATGTGTATTGTGTGCAGAGGTGTGACACACCTGCCTGGGTATCTGGCTGTGCATGTAGAATCATAGAAAGGTTTGGGTTGGAAGGGACCTTAGAGATCCCAGGTTCCACCCCCCATGGGCAGGGACCCCTCCCACCAGCCCAGGCTGCTCCCAGCCCCATCCAACCTGCCCTTGAGCACTGCCAGGGATGGGGCAGCCACAGCTTCCCTAGACAAGCTCTTCCAGTGTCTCACCACCCTCAAAGGGGGGCACAGTTTATTAGGTAAAGCAAAATAGGGAATAAATTCACTCCTTCCCATGGGTGGGCAGGTGTTCACACATCTCCAGGAAACCAGGCATCAGGTGTTACAGTGACTTGGGAGTGTAATGACCAGTATAGTCATTTTTCTACTATTGCTTTGAATATTATTTTTTGACATTAAAATGTATCTTCTAAGGCTGCTTGGGTTGTATGGAAAACAAATTGAATTATTTTACTAGTTATTTATGTTATTAATGGTTGGACTTAATGATCTTAAAGATCTTTTCCAGCCCAAAGGATTCTATGATTCTGTTTTCAGTCCTTGAGTGGCTTGGATCATAGAATCACAGATTCATAGGGCCTGGAAGGGACCTCTGAAGATCATCAAGTCCAACCTCCCTGCTGCAGCAGGAACACCCAGGGCTTGCTATGCATTTTAAACCTTTCAGTTTCCTTTGTGACTGACACTGATTTCTGACTCGGGTACAGCCGCTTTTTTTCTGGCTTAGAAAGTGGCGTTTGGAAGCTCTTCCCTTCTCTGAGTCGTGCTCCCTGAGGTGCTCTGGGGCTGCGTAGGTGATTATGCTCAAAATGCTGTGAGAAATGCGGAATCCTGGATCTGTGCCAGCCTCCGGCACAGCTCTTTACTGAAATTGTTGTCTCTTTGCATTTTCTGTGTTGAGGGGACTGGCTGGTGTGGTGCAGGACGCCTGGGGTGGTGCTGCCTCGGTGACAAGGACCCAGGTTATTTTCCGAGTGAGGAGCTCTGCCCTGCTCCTGCTCAAACCGCAGGGCGGGCAGGAAAGTGGAAGCTGTGCAAGCCCCTCCTTTGGCACGGAAGGCAAAAGGTGTTCTGAAAATAAAAGTACTCAACTGCTCTTCAGAACAGTTTGTTCCTGTAAACTGGTCAAGGTGTTTCCTGTGGAGGGAGGGTGGACTTACGGTCAGACTGGCATCTCCCCGGTATTCCAGCATGTGACTGCGGGTCAATAGCTGTGAGCTCTGCAGGGGAGGCGGTCTGAGCCTGGGCAGGGCTCGGCGACGCAGCCAGGGTGGCTGTGCTGGCTGCTGCACTGCCTGGCTTCCCGTGCTCTCCAAGGCTGCAAGGCTGGCCAGGCCTTCTTGCACACTGTAGAGGCAAGTGGAACATTAAAGCATAGGTAGGAATGTCCTAGTTTTATGGCTCTTTGATTAAGATACGTGCAGGGT